GCTATGTCGAGAAATCTCGAATGCTTCTTTTGCATTTTCATGTTATCGACATAATCTCAAGCAAAATTTAAAAGCTATATGTAAATGACTCTTAACGTACGGAATTTTTTCGATTAACTTGAAAAATATGACAAACTTATAACATGCAAAATGACTTTATAATCTCGGAATGCTAGAGGAAAAATCTCGCTTGCTATAATAATGTAATATCAAATTTGTTTAAATAATTACTGAAATTATTTTCAAAATTGAGGCATTTTTTTCTAATAATTTAACACATAATTTTTAGAAAAGAATATCATATTTTGATACTTTAAAAGCTTTAAAACTAAAAAATATCAAAAAACCTTTCAAAATATTAAATTGTCATTAATTAATGCTTTCAAACAGATATTAATTAATCGGCCATTACATGTATACCGATACGATTTATTTATTTATACGCGTCTACAATAAATCCTCCACGGAAAAGTCCAGCCGCTCATAAATTGCATCGGCCGGAAACGCTTTACCCTCTTCGCGCTTTCTCTCTCCATGCGTTTCTCCTGTCTCTCAACATTTTTGTTATTCATCGTTCGAGTGCGCACGTTACACGCGATATCGCTGATATGAGAGAATCGATATCCCCGAGAGAAACCGCCTTTGATCGTCCTCGAGTAACGAGGTAAAAAGGGTGCGTTCGCACTCGCGATGCGCCCTACGGTGGAGATTCGAGGCGGCCGTCGTCGTGTTGCTAAATATAAAGCAAAGAGATCCCCAAAGAGAAGGAGAAGGAGGCTGAGGAATGTCCTGATGCTTAATATTCTCGGACCAGACACACGTTTTACGAGGTCGCGCGAGATTCGGTCGGAATTTTTGGCAATATTTTAAAAGACCGCACACGCATCATGTCCGGGTCTGCGTAGTTTTTGCCTCGTGTCATGCCGGAAACCAGCCAAAATTTAAGAAGCGAAATTACATGTTATCGCGGGATAAAACCACAAGGGCTCCACGCAATGCGAGAGATTTAATTTGGGGAAAATATCATCGGGGGATACGTGGTGCAGCATCGCGTGGGCATCGTTATGCACATGGATCGTGTCTCTAAAGTGCAATCCGATGCAAGATTTAATGTTATATCGGTTAATTAACTTCCGTGTCGGCCCAGACGGTAGGAAATAATTTGTGAGATGGCGATTGAGCATTTAACACTATACTAGAGAATCTGGTTGCTTTAATAATTAAAAATAGACAAATCAAAATTTTCTGGTTGAATCTATCATAATTCTAATTGAGATAACTGAAATTGTGATTAATATAGATACAATCAGAATCTTTTGATTCATTCATTTTTAATAAGAAATTTTTTTCTATATAGAAATACTAAGCAGTTATTATATTGATCGTTTCTATTTTTTTAGATTAATATTTTTGTGAAAGATAAGATTCTAAAATTTATTGACTTTTTAATAATTATGTTTATATTAATGATATATTTGGTTTTTCAGATTTTTTTATTTTTATAGTAATTCATTTACTTGGTTCTTTACATAAATATGAGAACGTACTTTTATAATTAATATTATTAACTAAAGTGTAACGATGGATGTTATCATAGTTAAAAATAATTACTTATGCATTTTTTCATGAAATATATAATTGTTAATATAAATCATAGTCAAATATTATTCACAGATTATTTAAAACCTTCAGCTTCAATCAACCGATTACATGTATTAATTATAGTCAAATATTATTAATAAATTATTCAATGCCGATTACAATTATGGTTGACTGAATGTTTTAAATAATTTATGAATATTTAAGTACAATTTATGTAAAGAATTGGTAATTGTATTAGTGTAAAAAAATTATGTGTATAAATATGACATATAAATGTATGTCAATGTGTTATAGTGCATAAAACAGCATTGATTTTCTTAAAAACAGGCAGTTTGCTGCCCCACTAAAATTCAATCGCGACAAGCTCGAAGTGTTTTGTTATTGCACCGATTTGAATAACGTTCAATACGTTATGGACAATGGTCGTATGCGTATGCGTAATATTTACGTCTTATGCAAAGCCGATCGCCATAACGTCAGCGGCCGCATGGCAATGATATCGTAATCTGCATTTAAAAGGCATACATGTATAAATGGAAATAAAGATCTCATCGTGCGAAGTATGTCATAAAAGTTCGAAATAGTTGAATAAAATGAATCAGAATGAAAATATAAACTGCATCAGCTAGCTGTGTTTAGCAGAACAAACAGCTTTGCAATTATAAAATTCTTTGGTTACTTTTAGTTCATCACTGGATATAAAGTTATAAATCAATCATATTAAGAAATCTAACAATTATAAAGCTGATTTTTCTGTCGAATACAACCAAAGACAAAAAACGTGTATAATATATACTTCAAAAAAGTAAAATAATTTGTAACATATAGAATGTCTCAATTTTTTATAGATTAAAATATTATATAAATAAAACAAAATTTTATTTTGAATAACACATTGCAAGTAGAATAAATAAAATATTATTATATAACTTCAATAAAAATATAGATATTATTTGAAATTTAATAATCTCTAAAGTTATTATATCAACATTTGATTTTAATTCTATTGTATCAATATAAAAGTTTGATTACTTTTGAATATATTTAACAAGAAGTTAAAATTCTATTATTTCTTTATTTCTTTTTAATAACATTTGTATCTAAAACTGCGTAGGTTAATATTTTTTAAAATTATTTCTTTAAAAAATTTTTATTCGTAATGCAATAAACAAATTAATGATAAAATTTTAGAAATAATTATAAAATAACAACTCTCTAAATTATGATTGTTTCTTTCAAAACATTTGCGTTTCACAATTTTAATTGAAAGAAGTCAACTATTGAAATTTATAATAAAAAGATAAAAAACTCTCTCATTAAAACACATGAAATTAAAATATACATTTTTCGATTTTTATTCAATAAAATTATTCAACGTCAAATATGATTCAAAACAAATTGTCTTAGATAAACTAAAAGCAATAAATATAATTTAAAAAATTATTAAAATTTAATAATATTTGTTTGAATAATATTAATAAAATATTTACTTATAATAACTAAAATGATTTTTAAATCATTAAATTAATGGTTCTTGTACCAAATAAATATATGTTTACATTTAGTAAATATTTATTATTCAACTAAATATTTATTAAAATTTAATAAATTTTTTTAACGTAGCAAATAGCAGGTACTTACCTTGCTTAAGACTATGTCTAAATCCGCGCGCTTGGACAGCTGTCAGGTCGTTCAGGAACAACGAGAAGATAACAATGAGGAGGTGTAACGTGACGTTGCTAGCATGTTCCTTCTTCGTGGCAGTGGCCATGGTCCAGGAGGATTCCTATAATTCCTTGACACCACCGAACAAAGGCGATCATTGACAGGATGCACTCACATAGTCTGTAAATCGTCGAACGGAAAAAAAAAGAATAAAAAAGAAAAACGATAAATGAAAAATTACTGTCTCATTCCGCTCCGGCTCTCGTCAATCATCGATTCGCGTCGCATTGTCGTATCGCCATGTTGATCGCCTCGTGATAGATCGCGTGCGAAAATCAGCAACTTATCCACATCTCGTCGTCGCGTTTCCGTCGTTTTCGCTAATTCGTCGGCGATTATCGCGAATTTCTAAACGCCACTCGATCATACCGAAACACATCGGCGACTTTCGCTTTTTTTACACGACAAGATTTTCGGAACGATCATCGCCACGTTATTCAACGTTATCTCGTCTCCATCGGACAACTTCAGAGCGACGCTAACGCGTCGCACCTCCGTCTTCACCGTCAGCGCACGTTAATCCACGTTAATCCACGTTAATCCATTGACATCAATGTCAGGTTTTTATTCTCGATGTCACGCACTCGCGAATTTTCCCCGCGCGATATTCCGAAATGATGAACACGACGCGAACGGTTCCGCGAAAGCGAAAACTCGAACCATGTGAATTTAGTCACGAGTGCGATTCACTGCTCCGCGCTTCGAATACGCGACCGATGCGCAGGATCGAAAAGTTCGATAGATATTTTCGGACGCGCTCACTTGTTGCTCTCGGAGACGAGGAATCTTTTACCGGCGCGCATTCACTCTGGACGAGAGATGACAAAAAGAAATCACCACCGCACCACGCGACATGGCCACCACGGTGGTTGGCGATCTCGCACGTACGACGTGTATGAAGTAGAAATTTAATGTCTTACTTTCTTTCCGTCCACACGGGAACATCCGTCTGCGGGAATGGGCGCCACACTTTTGACAGAGATAGAGAGAGATTACCCAAAATTCTGTACCGAGAAACTAGCCGCGTGCGAGAAAGAAGGGAAAGACGAGCCAACTACGAAGCACTACCGACGTGAAGGTCGCGAACGAACTGACTGAAGCGAGCGCCGAGTCACCACCGAGCGCCGCGCGGTCACCCCCACCCTTCTCATATTCAAGCGGCGAGCGTTATACTTCCAATACGATTACGCCTCAGACTCGAGACACGCACAAAGGACATAAATATTTTTATGTCTATTACCAAAGTCATTTAATTCTTGATTTAATCTGTAAGGTTCACGAAACGTTGGCATTCCAAGAATGGATCTGAATACGGAGGAAACCCATGAAAAGCATAATCTTTATATAGAAAGCACTCGTGGAAGCCTCAAGAATATAATTCTTAATTTTTTATGAACGATGCAATATAATACAAGAATTTTATTGCTAAATGTTTAACACGCAATTGCACTTAATGAAAAGTTTTAAAAATACAGATTTTAAAGACGAAGATATCTTCCACTGTTCTTTGTACTGGTCGAAATATATATGATTATAACATCAAATATTTATGTGGATTTATGTATACAACGCTTATATTCTTCTATACTATTCTTTCTGTTTAGACTCTTTTCTTATATTTATTTTTAAACTTCTCACGTATGTTCCTTCACAACCTTGCGCCCCTTCTCGAATCGGTAGTCGCAACAGTATAAGTAATGTAATGCGAACACGCAGTCTATAACATATTTGCGCGTGTTTGATCATGGGAAGCACACGTATTTGTGTTCAATTGTGCATCTTCGTGGCGTTCATCGCCGCCGTTGTCGAAGCTGACCGAGGTAAATCGTAAAGAAAAATCAATATCTCATTTTTCATCGCTTAAGTAATTGTGTTTTAACTACTTTTAGAACGTAACTTCCATATAAAATTATTAACCAAATATTACGTTGATAGACTGATAATGTGATTAGTAATAGAAAACCTACGTGATTCGAATTAATTTCACTCGTTTATAATTGTTAACAACTTTTGATGTTTTTGTTTTCATAAAGACATATTCCTATCTGAATGTCCGGGTCCATTAACGTATTACAAGGATCTCAGATGCACGCCAATATACGACGACAAGAAGGACAATTGCCCGAAAAGTTTCAACTGTAATCATATCAAACGAAGATCCAGGGACAAGTGTTATATTAACGGTCGTATATATGGTCCCAATCAAGTCCTTAACCCTAATGATTCAAATTTTTGTGATATCTCATGCATTTGCAGAGTCTCATTTATCCAGAATCAAATGTAAGTATGACGTCCAAATAAATAAATTAAATTATTTCACCGTAAAATAAGTGCATTATTTGTAATAATTAATAGTGTATATATAATAATATATATATAACCTATCGAACAAGATTAATCCATATATTATGAATAAATTATGTGAAGATAAAATAGCTAAAGAAAATAATAACAATATACACATGCACACATATCACGGTTTTAAATTCATTTGTCATATAAAAAAAAGCTAAATTTTATATTTAGAGAATATTTACATTTTGCAATATACAATTATATATATTTTTGTAAAAATAGCTGAATATTTTCTTTATATAAATAATTTATTAATATAATATAATTTTTTGAAAATGTATTGCTATGCTTTCATATTTTAGATGAGATGATGTTATTTAATTTAAATTACATGTTATTATATTATTTGCATTTCATATTTGACGCGATTTGTCTTTATTTGTTAAGGCCTTTAATGAATTTTTGATTATCGATCAGTTATACGTCACTTATTTACATTGTAGAGTATCTAAATTTTTCGTCTGTAAACCATCATTTGCACAATGCAAAGTTAAAAACGTATTTGATATAAAAAAATATATTTAATTTCACATAAAAATATCAAATGTTTAATCATTTACAGCTAATTTATAAAAAATGTAAAAATTATTGAAATCTTTTGATTAAACTCCAATTTTTCAATATAGTGCTGCGTTTCAGTGTTCAAAGCATTCCCAATGTACCGAGATAGAGGTAAAAAATGGTTGCTATTTACGGCAAAATCCAACAACATGTTGCAAAAATCAGAAACAAATTTGTCGTAAGTATGTTTTTAATTGAAAAGCATATACATATATACTATGTATATATTTATGTACTATATTATATATATTCTGTATATTCACAACACTTGACAGGTAATTATTACGTGAAAATTATTTTCATTAAAATTCAAGAAAGTATATATAATATACAATGAAAGCAAAAAGAATTCGTACACGGAAATTTTTTATAAAAAAAGTTTTATTTGTAGAAAATAAACATTAATTAACAATTTTATACAATGAATACATTCTGTTCTAATATATACAAATGAATTTTGCATGTATTTCTGATATTATAAGCTAAATTTTTCGATTATTACGAATATTTTTTGAGCATCCAAACAATAGAGCTTTTAATTTTCGCTTATTTTTCAGATGATCTATTTTATATTGATGATATTTTCTATAATTAATACACATCTTTTTGATATATAATTAATAATATAATTTTAAGAAACATACAGTCTATTTTATATTTTATGAATAAATTGTTAATTATCCAGCAAGAAATGATTATCAATTAAACATCGAATTGACATCAAATTGATGTTGAAATCATCATATTAATATCGATTTGACATCAATTCGATGATCAATTTGACCCATTTCTCGCTGGATAATATTTAATTTAAAAAAATAAAATTAAAAAAAAATATTTTCTCTGTACGAATACTTTTGTACTCACTGTATATAATAAACTTATAACACAATTATATATTTATTATTGTTATAAAAATTTGATTTAAGTTAGTCAACCGATTAGTCATATCAATACACACACATATATAATTAAATAAAACTATAGAAAATATAATCGTAAAGTATAAGTAATGCTTCTTAAATGTTTTAGCTAAAAAATTGGAAGATATACCTGTTTGTGATGTAAATAATCATATATATCTTGATGGTGAATATTTCAAAGTGAATGAAGAACCCGATTTGATTTGTATTTGCCAACCAGGATACAAAGGTAATAATAATGTTAATTGTTATCATAAAATAAATTTACTTTTAATCTTTTGGTGCCATTATCTCTATAAAGATTTGTTTCACTTTATATGCTGAAATTTTTTAAGTAATAAAGATACATATATTTGCTTGTTACTGTTCCTTAGTATTTGACGTTTCGATTGAAAAAATATATATGTTCATTTTTACGCGATATTTTTATACTCATATAATAAATAGGTAATAAAATGATGGAAAGTGACATTGAACAGTTAAATTATATAATTCCTAAAGATTTAATATACATAATACTTATTAGAATTGGGAATTTTCTAATTTTAGGTGAAAATGTTCCACCTTTCTGTATCAAGCCTAATCATTCTCCATGTTTTCACCCTGCATTCAATCACGATGATTATTTTCGTCGAAATTGTGCTCCAGTTTTCAAAGATTACGTAAAAAAGAACACGTGTTATGAGACAATGTTATGTCGTAAGTTTGTAATTTGAATGTTGTACACATTTCATCGTTATGTTATTCTCATAACTTTTGTTGAATTTTTTAGAGCTTCCTGGTGACGTTGTCATTCCTAGCCGATTACCTTTTATGATGGATGACAATTATAGTAGTATGTTTCATATTTATTTTTAAATGTAAATTTATTTTATAATATCCCATATGCATTCGCGGAATATTACATTGGTTGATAAGAAAATTATTTCTGTTATATTTAAGAAATTTAGAATATACATACATTCACATGGCATTGAAGTAATATATACAATTTGCTATATACATTTTAATTATTCTTTTAAAATGTAAACAATATTTTCTTTATTAATTTATATCACATTCTTTCAATAAGTAATCATTCGAATCGTTATTCAATTCGAATTCTATTGAAAAATTAGAGCATTATCTATGAGTAGTATGAAAAATAAAATTAATATTAGCGTACTTTAACAAAGCTGAAGAAGTTAATTTTTTGTCTGAAGTTAATTGTTTGTTAATATGTTTAAATTCATTAATTATTAATATTTTTATTAATTTTATGGATCGCGATATTAAGAAACAAATTTATTACTTCACGATAAAATGTCATTCGGTAATTATATGAATATGTAAGGTATATAAAATGAAGTATTGGCACGTATTTGAACAGTCAAGCGATACTAATTACACAATTGTATTGTGATTTGCGTCAAAATAGGAGGTAATTGCGACAAACATTGCATATGGATAACGAGCACTGCGCAAAATCAATTTCTGTAATACGTTAATATTATGATCCTATAAAATGATAACTAATTACAAAATACAACTCACTTCATTGCTCATCCAATTTACTTTGAATACAAGAATGTGCTATATAAAACAATTGACATACTATTAATATTTATCATATTCTAAAAAAATATATTATTATTTATTTGATATTCCTTTTTCCAGATATGTGTATATTTGGTAATTTGCTATTGCAAATTGGAGACAGACTACAGCCAACTCCAAGTTATACCACCGAATGTATTAATTGCATTTGCGAAGTACCACCTGTATTAACTTGTATATATATATCGAAAAATAATTGTAGTATTAATTATTTTGTTAATTTGTAAACATTATGAAGGACATTATAATATATTAGATTATTATTTTTGTTATAAGATACAAAATTTTATTAAAAAAGATTTATGATAACTTTAAATTGTAATAAAAATTTATATTTACAAGAAAAGACATATTACTTATTAATTATTAATATACATTAATGTAATAAAATATCTGTTTATCAAAAGAAATTGTATACGGCATTACAAATTCTAAGTTGTATCTTCAGAGTTGTGCTTTCATATCATTGAAAATATAGGTACTGGTGAATATTCCTTATATAATAAGAATGTATATTGCTTTACCGAGAAATAATCTTCAATTTGCAACAATTCAAGATCACACTAACTGCTTCTAATAATCGCGTTATATTACCATTAAGTATAGCTCATCCGATGTACGAAGATTATTCCACATGACTGATGTATATGCATTTTACGCATGAGGATAATATTAATTGTGTGATTAGCCATAATAACTATCTCTTATAGTTATATCTTGTATGCAGTTATTATTGCAGTAATTATAATTATCTATGTAAATGCATCACATATATTAATTTCTTTGAAAAACTAATCTATTGATAAGCTCTTACAAAATATTAATTTATATTGCAAGTTTGCAAAAAAATTTGCACTTTTTAACGTAACTATTAATATAGAAAACAAGTAAATTTATAACTTATAACTTTTTATAATTTATAACTTATAATGATAACTAAAATCTAAAACTGATTCTAATATGATAATAGTATTGTAGTTATATATAAAATTATCTTTAAAATAAAAATAATAAATTTTTAAATATATGTATAAAAAAATATAGTTTATAA